CTGTCGCCTGCTGCGGGAGTCGCCGCTGAGAGACGCTGCTGCTGCCGCTGCTGTCGCCGCCGACATCGCTGGACGTGGTCGGGGCGGCGGTGGTCGGGGGAGCGGCAGCCGCGGGGGGTCGCCTCCGCTCCCGTGGCGGGGGCGCCCAGAAGCCCAGGCGCTGCGCGGGCTGCGCGGACGGGGCGCGCAACGCGCGCAGCGTCGGGACCCGGCGAGGCGGGTCGCGCGGCCCGTCTGGACCGCCCCCCAACGCGACAGTGGAGAGGGGGCTGGTCTGGTCGGCACCACTCGGCCGAATCGAGGACGAGCTGGCAGGCGCGGGTAGCCCCCCGGGATCTACTGGCCTGGAAGGACCTCGCCACGATCGGCCGCGCGGGATTCGTTGTCGGCCCAGTCGCGGAGGCTCTCAACGTAGCGCAGGTGCCGCGAGATCTCGGCGCCGATCGCGATCGCCGCCGCCTGCCACGCCCGCAGCCGGAGCCAGAAGTCGCTGGGCCGGCTCATCATGGAGGCGAGGAGGCGCTCATGTCGTCAACGAGGCCCAGCAGCCGCGAGCCGTGAGCGGCCGGGCAGCGCGAGGCACGGCGTAGCTGCATCACCGCCACGCGGGCATCCTTCAGGTGGATGGCGGAGCGAAAGGCGCAGCCGCCCTTGACGATGCTCCGCCAGCGGGAGGGGTCGGTCCAGGAGTTGTCGAGCGCCTGGACGGGCTCGCTGACGTCGACGAGCCGCGCGGGTGCCCGGCGGCGCCGGGATGCCACGGGCGCGCCCGCGGGGTCGGCCTGCTCAGCGACCCCGGCGACGTCGAGACCCATCGCCCCGAAGCCCGGGGCCAGGTGCGGGGCGTAGGCGAAGACGCGATTCTCGAGGTCCGCGCCGTCGACCAGGCAGAGCTCCTCCACCGCGAAGCTGCACGTCGAGGCCCGAGAAATCGGGCACCTCGGGGTCGCGGCGGACCGCCGCCTCGATCCGGATCAGGCGGCGGAAGCAGAACTCCGTGCTGGCCAGCGTCTAGGCGTCGAGCTAATCGAACTGCACCGCCCAGCGAAGCACCTCGGTGAGGGAGAAGTGCCCCCACGACGCCGCCCCGTCGACATTCACCGCTCTCGGGGGCTCACTCGTGATGATGCGAAACGAAGGTCTGGTCCTGAGCGCGGAGGCTATGGAGGAACTCGACACCTGCGCGAAGACCAGAAAAGGGGGCGTGCTCGATCTTCGCGTAATCGAACCTCACGAAAGCCAGCTCCGCGTCGACGCGGGGAGCTCCGCGTCGACCCTTCTCCTGGCCCGTCGCGCGAGGGTCGCGGCCGAAGGCCGCCGCCTTGGCGAGCCGCCGCCCACTCTCCTTCCCGACCTCCGCGGCCAAGGAGTGCACCCATGCACTGATGTTCCACGAAGGCGAGGCCGCACTGGTCGCGGGCAGTGAAGCGGGCGGGGTCGGCCACGGCCGACTCGGGCAGAGCCGTCGCGAACGCCGCGCGGGAGGGGCCGGCGATGCGCCAGCGAACGTCCACCGCGCAAGGGGCCGACGAGGTGACCCCCGCACCGCGGCCAGCATCTCCCCCCGCTGCATCAGCTCGGACAGCTCCGCCGCCGAGAGATGGTCGAACAGGGGGGCCTCGTCGCGGCGCGGGGCAGGGGCCGGCTCGTTCCGATCCAGCGGCAGCGCGCGGTGCACCGAGAGGTCCGAGCACCTGGGCCGAGAGCGCGGGCGTCGCGGCCGCTCAGAGCCCCTCGCCGTCCGTCTGCAGCAGAAGCCTATGGTGCCAGTAGAATCCATTCGGATCATCGAAGAAGCCACCCAGGATCTGCGGGCTCGGCGCATCGAGAGCCCGCGCGCCGCGGGCCACCTGGGCATTGGCCATCAGACGCGAGCCCCGCGCAGCGCCAGGGGGGCGCCCGGCCCCGCGCAGGCCCCCGGGCGGAGGCGGGGGCCCGCCAGGGCGCGCGCCCGAGGGGCAGCCGCGCAGCAACCTCCCGACGCCAGGCCGAGGACGAAACCGATCGCCAGCCGCAGCCCGCCCGCGCCAGCCACGCTGACAGCGGCAACGGGGCGCGAGCAGGCGAAGCGGCGGGGCAAAGGGCGGGCGGCGCCGCTGCGGGCGACGGGCCGCGGCCGCCGAGGGCGCCGAGGCACGCGTCCAAGGTGAGCTTCAGGCCCGGCGCGTCGCCCGCCGCTGCCACCTCGCCACCGCCAAGCTCGCAGCGGCACCGGCAATCGCAGCCTGCTGGGGGAACGTCGAAGTCTTTTCAGTAGTGATGAGCACAGCCGCTGAGAAGCATGGCAAGGCTGACCAATCACCGAGACTCTGCATCGGCGGCGGGCTCCTGAGCCACATGACTATAGACGATCCAGCCATCGTCGTGCCTCCCAGCTCCCTTCATACTACACAGGTAAACAAATCAATATTATCAACAGCGAGATCGGTAGTGAGATTGAGAATGAGATCGGTAGTGGGTCGTGGTATCGATATTAGTACCGACGATGACATCGATCGTGATATTGATCGTGAAACATTTTGTGACATCGATCCTGACATCGATCGTGGTATGAATCGTGTAATCGATACTGGGGTCCATTATGAGTTCGATGGTGAAACCGAACGTGCGATCGACAGTAATATCGAAAGTTCTATCGATGGTGATATCGGTGTTGAGATCGATCGTAAGGTGTGACCGGTCGTAAAATCGGCAGTGACGTCGATGGTGGGATCGATGGTGAAAATCGATCGTGGGATCGATGGTGAAATCGATGGCGAGATCGATTGCAATGCCAAAGTGAATTCCATCGTGGGATCGATGGTGAGACCGATCGTGACAGCAATGGTGAGATCGATTGTGAGACCGATAGATAAAATGATCGTGATATCGATGATGATGGTGCAGTCGATGGTGGGATTGGTGCTGATATTGACCGAAACAAATCGTTTGTGATATTGATCGTGGAATCGATATCGATATCCATAGTGAGATCGTTAATTGAACCGATTGTGAAACCGGTAGTGACATGAATTGTGCGATCGTTTCCCAAATCGATCGTGATATCGATGGTGGGGGTGTTTTGTGAGATCCATAATGGTATCGATCGTGGGGTCGATGATGAAATCGATCGTGACATTGATTGTGTAATACATAGTGGTAGTGATGGTGATATCGATGGGACAATTCACGGTGATATCGATCGAATGCAATCGATTGTGAGACCGATCGTCATATCGGTAGCAAAATCGATTGAAGGAGACGTTGGTTCCTCCCCCCCAAAGCGCAGTGTAATCGCACACGGCTGCGTGTGTAGTTACATGCATATGTATATATAACACACAAATATACATGTGTATAAAAATAATAATATGCTGTTCCCAGGAGTCGTACCCAATCCGCACGAAACGTTTGAAAATACCCAGGGAAGTGATCTGATGTTGATACCCGTCAGGGGGGGCGCTCCGCTGGATCCCAAACGGCCCAGGACATGACGACTGCTGTAAGTCTCCCACATCCTGGGGGGGGGGGCGGGGTCTAGTTAGGCTTTCGTGGGGGCGTTTCGCCATACCCCCCAGGGGCGCACGGCTCGAACGCTACCACGTAGAAGGTCGTGGTTTACTTGCGCCCGCATGGGGCAACACCTCGCTGGACCTTCCAAGGGCGCAACGGAATTGCAACGGTCGTCCGCCTGGCCACGCCCAGGAGAAGCGAGGTCGAATTGCGCGTGGGGCAGAGGCAGGCTGAATTTCTCAGAAGCACAGGACTTGGGCGGCAGTTGCAAGCCTGGTAACACCCAGCGATAGCACGGCGAGGCTTGGTTGGGTATGCGTGGGGCGGCGCCCCGCTGGACCTCCAAGGAACACAAGGAAGTGGTGACAACTGCTCCTTCAGCAGCACCCACGGGGGCAAGATTTACCTGGGCTTTCGATGGGCGGCACTCCGCTGCATCCCAAGGGCGCAGGAACGTGGCGACAGTTCTACGTTCGGCAGCACGGTGGGAAAGAGAAGTATGCGAGCCTGCGTGTGGGGGGTGACCCGCTGGATTTCCAAAAGTGGCGCCACGAATAAAATGCTGCCACCAAGAGGGATGAAGTAAAATCAGGAATGCGTAAGGCAAAACTCCCGTGGACCCCCAACCGCGCGAAACGAAGGAGATGGCTGTATGCTTGTCAGCCCCAAGAAAGGGCGAGGGGGAGGGCAAGGTCTCGTCGGGCCTGCGGGGGGGCACACACTGCCAGGCACCCCGAGGACACAGGAGGAGACAACTCGACAGTTGTTTGCTTGGTACACCCACGGGGGCAAGTCTGATTAACTGGGTCCTCGTGGGGCGGCGCTCCACTGAACCCCCATGGGGCGCAAGGCCGTTGCGACAGCGATTGGCAACACATAAGAAGCGAAGTCAAGGCAGGTCTTCGTGGACCATCACTTCGCTGGCCCAGCAAGGGGCGCAAGAAATTGCCGCCAGCTCCTCGCTTGGCAACGCCAGCGGGGGCCGAGGTTGATTTGGACCCGCGTGGGATGGCATTGCGCTGGACCCCCCAAGGGGGGCAACAAGTAGCGCTCGTTTCACGTTTGGCTGCGCACAAGATCATTGGGGGTTCGTTAGATCCGCAATGGGCAGCACTCCGCTGGACTCCCCAGGGGCGCAGAGAAATGGCGACGGTTAGGCCAACAGGAGCTGGGCAAGCATGGGCAAGCAAGAGCGATCAGAGACAAGTCTGAGAAGCTACACGGGGACTGCAGACACAGCAGGCGTGGAGGGAGGCAGGAGGATGGGGGAACCGCGGCTGATCCTTTCAAAAGGAACAGGGGCTGGGGAGACAAGTTGCACTGATGCCGCGCATTTAGTCGCCCAAACTGGGAAATCACGTCCGGGCGCGAGGACGTCCACGATGTCAGCTCTTTCGCGAGATGCACCTCAGGAGAGGAATGCGACAGTGCAACACGGACCAATTGCGATGAAGGATCCCTGCACACGCACATGGTGGACTGCAACCCTCGTACGGCCATCCCCGAGCTCCAGAATCTGTAGCCGGTGGTCTCGTTGTTCACACGACTCACGCGGGTGCCGTCTGGCAGCTCTGCGCTCCTCCCTCACCGCAGCTGGTAAGTACAGGAAAGAGGTGGGCAGAGAGCACCTGTTGGAAACAGACATGAGGATACTAGCCAGTCGCGTTCTATGCTGCATTCCACCTCCACAGCTTACCCAATCCAGTGTTGACTCGTTGCGCCAGCCAGACCAGCACTACACATCCATCTTCCTTCGCCCAATTCCGGCCGTTCGTCCCGCAGAGATTGTTCAAACATTCGCTCCCGCCCCTTTCGCCGAACAAACTTCGACACTGACACGTGCCTGCGGGGGACCCCTCGTTGCCCCATTAACTACCAATTGCTGCTCTTCCTCCTTCCCCTCCGACCCTCCTCCAGCTCCTCCTTCTGATTCACCTGAATATGTCCCTGCCTGTGGCCCCCCCCCCCTCTCTCCTCTTCACCCCGTCATTCCCCTCCCCCATTTCCCACCTCCGTGCTGCCTGTTGTCCTCGCCGTACTCCTGGTCTTCGTCCTCCTTTTCCTCCTGCTCACCCTCCTCCTGCTGCCCATGCTTCCCCAACAGCAAGTCCCCGAGCAGAAGGGCGTGAACGCGTAGGCGCGCCCCTGCAAGTCCATCTCCCAGAGCTCCCTGTGAGACTGAGCAGTGTTTACCAGCCGCACCCTCCACGGGCACTGTCATGTTTGATCAGACCACGTACAGCCAACCCGTATCATAAGGATGCGCTATAAGGATGCAAGGGCCTTGGAGGCCCATGTAACGTGTTTCGAACGAGGCTGGCAAGCGCAAGTCGCTGTGTATGGGCCGAAGGGGCAAGGATGCAAGGTTACCCTGGGGAAGGTCGCCCATCCTTACTGTGCGAGTTGACTGTCTGCTTCGGTAGCGTAGGCCGGGCAGCCGGAGAGAAAGGGACACAAGGGTCTGAAGCAAGCGATGGTCTTCGTCTTCGGTGGCAACTCAAGGGAGCCTCCCGTACCATCTTGTCGGCTCTTGCGAATCGACGCTAATCGATGCTAGAAGACGCTATCCGACGCTACATCGACGCAAATCGACGCTAACCGAAGTTAGAGCCGCGCTATCTCATCGACTCCCAGACGCTAATCGATGCTAGTCGGCACTCAAAACGGAGTTGAGAGTGTGCTCCAAGCTCCCACGACTTGCTACCTGAGTCGTCTGCTGCGGAGGAACTGCTCCACACACAGGCTCGGAACGCTGTCGCCCGAAGCCTTTCCTCACCGTGCCATGTCCACCGCTCCTCGTGCTCCTCCACCCCTCCTCTTCCTCCTCACCTCCTCTCCAGCGGATGGCGCTGCTTCGTGGGCGGACTGGGTGAGCGGCACACGCGCGCGCAGAACACCCGCGGCTGTGCAGTCCCCGCCTCGGGGAAACCCTGACGTGGACGACAGATCCGCGGGTGCAGCACGGGGCCGCGGGAGGGGAGTGCGCAAGAGCGAGTCGCCCCTCGCCGCCTCCCAGCGACACCATTCAAAACCAGGTGCCGCCTGCCGTGGCGACGGTGCGCGTCGATTACCGCATGCGCGAGCTCTGTGACGGAAGCGGTGCACGCAAGTGTTGCCCAAACTCGAATGCAGCAGATGAGGATCGTGAAGCGTCTCCCTGCCAGTGAGTTTGCGGGCTTTGCGCGGCCACTGCAATCGCAAGCGGTGGGCGCCATGCGCAGCGCCCACCAGGCCGCCGTGAGTAGGTCGAAAAACCTCCAGAGATGCATGGGCATGATGACTTTCCACGATCTGAAAATTGGGTCGACTCTCCACCAGGAGAGTCACGTAAGCTGACGATCCGTAAAGGATGTGGGGGAACGAAACACAACATAATGTCTGACTCTTCGGCTTCCGCCCAGCTTCGCTTCGGTCCGGCCCGTCGGCCGTCCAAGCGCGCGCCCGAGGAGGGCGGGAGGGAACGATGCAAACATACTTTCCTGGCCGGGGGGGCGTTTTCCTAATCATCATCCTGGGCGCCGCCGCGTGAGCACGATCCCCGGTAATCTCTCAACCGTCATCATGCACTACCGCAGCGCCCACACTTCCCTCAGCCGTTCACACTTTCCCACCTCTCGCGCTTCCCCCTCCGCCAGGCCGCCGCAGCGTCTCCCCCCGCACCCTGCCTGCACCGCCCCTTCCCGCTGTGCTGCCGCGTCGCACCACACTGGGACTGCCTGCATCCTTGACCTCACCTCTCCTCACCCATGACCCCGGGACAGGGTACATTTCTAATCGTGCTCATTTCTAACTGTGCTCGTGTCTAATTGTTCCTGGCCCCCTAGTGGCCAGGAAGAGGCCCAGGATAGAACAATTAGAAATGAAAGGACCCTGGCCCCCAAATAAATCAAAGAACCTTCGAAGAATTTGAAATGAACAGTGGGCAGGACGGCGTTGGGCCTCACTCCAGGAGAGGCGCGCCGCGGTGGTCGGGGGGAACGAAAGGGGGGGATAGCAAAGGGTAGGGTAGAGAATCAGCTCACGTAGCTGATTTTCCCAGCGCCATCCGGCGCCGGGAGGCGCCCATGTATCGAGGAGTGGGCATAGCGGCGGGGCCGAAACCAGCTGCATGTAGTAGATTTGGTAACCCCCCCTTTCCCTATCCCCCCTTTCATTCGGCCCGAGCACACAGGCGCCCACAGCCCCTCTTCTACTATAACCGCGCACCCAGAAGGAACGAACAAGAAGGAACGAAGGGCCTTTTCTGGCCACGGCGGGCCTAGGCCACAAGGAGGTTCCACGACGTGAGTATAAGGAGCGGTCTGAACACCCGAGCCCCTCTTGAGCCCCAAGCGTTCCTCATTTCAGTGTCTTAACTGTGCCTCCTCTCCAAGGTGCAGCAGAGGCATGTCCTCCGCCGTTCGGTCGCTCCCATTTCTTTTCCCCTGACCTCGTGGTGTTGCTTAACCCTCCCCCAGCGCTGGCCATGAGGAGGGCCTTTCCGAGGGCATCGCCTATCATCACGAGAACCGTCCGCAGCCCTGAACTCTCTTATATGAGCGACCGCAAAGCATGGGAACGCATGTGAATAAGGGGAGTAGGCCAGAGCAGCAGGAGAAAGTCTGACACACAGTCGGACCTAGGCCAGACGAACATCCCTCAAGAACATGAGACCCTCCGCCGGCCAAAACAAACAGAACATCCACGGGCGAAACAGAACATCCACGGGCGCCCTCCCCAGTATGCACAAGAACATCCAACAGATACGCAGGTACCCTCTCCGAACCGACCTCGATCTTACATCTCGGTCCGACTGTGCCGAATGTGCTCCTCCTCTGCGGCACCAACATACAGCGCGATGTCACGCACATGTTGCATGGATGCCACGGGCAGCATTACCGCGAATATGGATTACCGAGGGTCTACCCTGTTGACGCGACCTACGCTTGCGACTTTGACGTGCAAGCGCCAATCAAACGATTCATGCCCTCAATCATCACTTGGTGGAGAAACCTAGTCACGGAACGCGTCGCATATTCATGCGACGTAATTCATGTTTGCGCTTCTCTGATCATCACCTCCCCCCCTCTCCTCCTCCCTAGACCACCTCCCGCTCCCGCTCCCCCCTCGTCCTCCTACTCCTCCTTATCCTTCCTCCTCGTCGCCCTGCTTCCTCCACCCCCATCTTCTGCTCATCCTTCTTCCGTCCGCCCCTCCCCCCTGGACAGCTCTCGAGGTTATGCAACGCCGTGGCTCTCCTGATGTCCGCCCTCACCGTCAGGTCCGAGTCGATGAATATCACCTGGTTAACAATAAAATTATCCCTAACCCTTCGGGAGCGTACCTAAGTTAAAAGGGCCCAAAACATTAGGGACGGGGTCTGTTCTTCAGATGTATCGAATCAAACCGCCCACATATCTATTATCCCTGATGCAAAGACGGGGACCTCAGTGAGGCTACGTCTGCATCGTGCTGTTAGGGTTAGGGGAGTTGTTCATCCCCGATGATCACCCGGGGCACATCCATGGGCTAGCGGCGCGCCGACGGGCACGCGGCGAGGGGGGGGGGCGGCCCTCTCAGAAGGCAAGGCCCTGCCCCATACGTACAGGAGGGGCTCGACCACAAGAAACCTTCCACAGGAAACCGAACCCGGAGACCCCAGGACGTCCACTGATGTTTGGTGTGGGAACGTCGCGATCTCCATCGCAAAACCATCGAATCTCGAGAAATCCAGGGCACCCTGGAGGCAAGCAGCGTGTTTCTTGGCATGGGTCTCCACTGTAACACCCTCGCCGCCTTCCCAGTAGGGCCCCCCCCCTCTCGGCCCTGCCTCCCTCTGCGCGCCGCCACATGGGGAAGAGCACGTCAAGGAAGAGGATCTTGTACGCCCAGACCCGCCGGCCTCCCCGCCATGGGGCGGCCCTCCGCTGCCCTGACCTCTGCCATGCGGGGCCCCGCAGACCGCCAGACCTCCCCGGGGGGAGGGCGATCTTGCGCAACATATCTGCTGGGGCGGCCCCGGAGCCGGGAAAGACTGCCTCCGCAGTGCCGAACACTGCGAAGACTCTCCGTGTCGCTCGTCCCCAGACGCTGGGCTTGCGGGGGCCCGGCTGGCGCCGAGCGGCGCGCGGTGCCCTACGCACACGCCTTCCGACGTGCCGGGCCAAGTGGCCACGCCAAGCCGTGCCGCGCATCGGCTCGCGCAGGGCGCGGGCCGTGGAAGACGATCCAGGCCAACAGGGCCAATCACGGGCGTCTGCCGCCGCCTCGGCGGTGGGCTGGAGGAGGAGGAGGAGGAGGAGGAGGAGGAGGAGGAGGAGGCGGAGGAGAGGAAGCAGTGAAGCGCATCGGGTTTTGGGGAGGATTGAGGCACCTCTCAGGGGGTGTCCAGGGGAGGCCTCAGCAAGACACCTCGGGCCCTGGTCAGCAGGACGACCTGGGGTGGGAGAAAAGGAGACTGGTATTAAGTCGGGCGTGTTCCCCTACAGGGGGACTTTGGACGAAAAATTGAAAATAGTCCAAACATTTGAAAGAAGTGCCCCAAAGTACTAACAACATCGTCCCCGGTCTACTTTTTTACAACTATGTTGAAGTATTCCTCCTGTAGAGGGACAGGCCCGACAGAAGGCTGGTAGACAGGACGGCGGGGGCAGCGAATCGGCTCACGCAGCGTTTTTGTGTTCGGGCGCCTGGCAAGGGGGCCGGGAACGAGCGAGCGTAAAATCGAGGAACGCGCTTGGCGGTGGTAACCCGCCTTTCCCAAACTCAGCATGTCAGACCGCCCGTGACGGAATCGCAACCTCTTCGCGAGACGCAGAGGGCGCACGCGCGAGAGATGCGGGTCTGCTTCTGTATTCGACCCGCCTACGTCCCCTCGACTCCCTCATTACCGATAACTGCCCATACCCCTCTTCCTCAGCCCAGCTTCCTCCGAACCTTCCTGATCCATCCTTCCTCCTCCGAATTATCCTTCGTCATTCCTCTTGATATTCATCTTGATTCCTCGCCTGGTACTCCTCTTCCATCGCCCCTCCTGCCCGAAAATACCTTCCAAACAACTTCCTGGCGTATGCCGATCCTCTCCGTCTCTCCTCCTGGCTTCGACCTCGCCAGTCCTCGGAGATGGCGTCAGCCTGTAGATCAGCCGCTGCTTCTCCTTTTGCGGGTTGAGCCACGACGGCCACTTGAACGATACCAAGTCGAAGGAGACACTATCTAGGTTGGCCATGATGGTCGGCAGCGTGTCTAAGAACCTGAAGCGGTGTTGACTAGCTTTCCCAAGGGCCAACGTGTGCCCCCCCCCCAGCGACAGCGACGACAAATACCGACAAAAATAACATCGAAAAGGGCGAACGCAGCTGAGCTGCGCTACGACACAACAGCCGACGACCGAACGAACCGACCAAATGCAGCAAACTGCGACGCAGACGAGCGAACCGAATCGCTGACACCCTCGACTGCGCGATAACCGCTCATTCACAGGACGCATGGCAACCCCAATCCCCCTCTCTGTGGGGTGTCCGGCTGGCTGACAACTTTGAGGCCCCACTCTGGGATGTACGATGTACGATGTGCTTCCTCGAGAGTGGTACGTGCGGACGGCCCCCTCGGGGTGCATTCCCGAGCTCCCTTTTGTTTCCTTGGAGAAGGGGGGTCTTTAGCTTCCATCTGCATCCTCTTCCCTCCTCCTCCTCCCTCCCTCCTCCCCCTTGCCGCCGTCGAGTACGGGCACTCAAAGATCAAGATGCAGACGCTCGAACTTTAAACTTTCTAGCTTAGTACCAGCCGTCCGTTCGAAGAGCAACCTCGCGGATCTGGGGCGAGAAGCCTCCCTGCGAGCCGCGGGGCCCCACAACCAGCACGCGGGAGCCGCGCCGCGGGCCCCGCAGGGGCTGGGAGGGGCGGTCCCCGAGCCCGCGCGGAGCCTCGGGGACAGGAAGTCGCCCACGATCCAGAAGTGCAGCGGGTGCCGCGTGTGGTTCCGCACCGACAGCACCATGACCTCCGTCGGCCACACGCAGGAGCAAGGCCCTGGGCAAGCAAGAGCGATCTGTGATGCGCGGCCTCAGGGGTGTGCCCTGGGTGGGCAGGCACAAGCGCGCAGGCCGGTGCCATCGCACTCGGCACATGCGGCAGTCCGGGGTCCCTGGTGGACCCGGACCAAAGGTCACTGCGGCGAAGGGCCACTCCTACGGTCAGGAACTTTTGAATAGCGTGTTGCGGTGGCGGCCCTGGCGACTCGTTGTGCCTTGCAGGCGGACAGCGCGTCGCTTCGCTCCGAGGGGCGGGAGGCTCGGAAATGCTCGGGACGTTGACGCTTGGACATGAGTAAGCGCATAGCGTGTCGCGCCGAAGCGCGGTGGGCCAGAACCGGGGGAGCGACACTAGAGGCCTCACAGATGGGGTCCCAGCAGATGGGGTCGGAAGATCGCGCCGACGTCGCCAATGCATTGCCGATGTATCGGCGATGCATCGGCGACGTCGACGATGCATCGGCGCAATCGGCGAGGCGAAACTCTGACTCCACATCGAGCCACATCGTCGATGCATCGGCGATGCGGCGCGCTCCTTCGACCCCATCTGCTCGGACCCCATCTGGGAGTCCTGGGGACACACTGTCCAGGAGTTCCCGGCCGCAGTCGACTTCAGCATCGGGGGGCGCGAGGGTGGGGCGGGGGCAGAGGTGGGGCGAGTCAAAAGAACAGATCGCCCCCAACCAGCCCCCCGGGAGACGGGAGCGTGAGCATCCCGCTGACGTCCTGCCCTGGCCCCACCTCGGCATGCAGTCGGACCTGGGCCAACAAAGACAACCTGCAAGGACATGGGACCCTCCGCCGGCCACAACACAGAGAACATCCAGTGATACCCCCCCAAAGGTGCACGAGAACATCCAGCCAGCATGAAGACCACCAGGGCACGCTCCCCAAGTCGAATCAAACTCGATCTTAGACCTCGGTCCGACTGTACCGAACGTGCTCCTACTCTGCGGCACCAACATACAGCGCGATGTGTCGCACATGTTGCATGGATGCCACGGGCAGCATTACCGCGAATATGGATTACCGAGGGTCTACCCTGTTGACGCGACCTACGCTTGCGACTTTGACGTGCAAGCGCCAATCAAACGATTCATGCCCTCAATCATCACTTGGTGGAGAAACCCAGTCACGGAACGCGTCGCATATTCATGCGACGTAATTCATGTTTGCGCTTCTCCGATCGTGACCCCCCTCCCTCTCCTCCTCCCTAGTCCTCCTCCCGCTCCACCCCCCTCGTCCTCACACTCCACCTCTACGGAGCCCTGACATCGACAACACGCAAGAACGACCCTGGGTAAGAGTGACCGTTGGTGCGCGGCTCGTTGGAGCCGCGGTAGGACCAAACACGAGCGCGCAAGACTTAGGTTCGGCAGTAGCGACTACAGGCGGTCCACCGCCGTATCGCGCGAAGAAACTCAAACTCGAAAACAACTTCTACACATATCTAAGCCGAAACCTGCGGAAATCTCAAACTCTAAAGAAACGTCCCAAAATCTCTAAGCCCAAACCTGCGAAAATCTCAAAACCCTAAGAAACTTACCAACATCTCTGAGCCAAACCAGCAAACATCTCAAACTCAAAAACCTGCGAAAATATCAAACTCTAAAAAAACTCTAAGCCGAAACCGGGGGAAATCTAAAACCTAGAACGACTTGAAACCTAGTTGAAACCTAGAACAACTTGAAACCGGAACTCCAAACAACTCTTCAACAATTTTGGAGCAACTCTGGGACAACTATGAACAAACTGAGCACCTAACAACTTCAATCTCTAAAAAACTCTAAGCGCCTGAAAACAACTCAAACACGTCTCTTGGCAAATTCGGAATAAGTCTAAAAACTCTAAACAAATTTCTGACCGCCTGACGAACTCCAGCAAAACTCTGGAGACAATCTGCAAAAAACTCTAAATGAAAACCCCCGTGGCCTAGGAAACTGTAAAACAACTTATAAACAACTATAAACACAATCTGGCCGCCGAAAAATTCAAGCATCTGTGTTTCATTCTCTCTGCTTCAAGTTTTTTTCAGGAGTTTCGGTTTCAAGTTTTTTCGGGTTGAGATTTTCCAAGGTTTTGGCTTAGAGATGTTTGACGTTTTTGTTTGTTTGAGATTGTCGCAAGTTTTGGCTTAGAGGTTGTCTGGAGATTTTTTGGAGATTGAGTTTCCCGCTGAAGATTTTCCGAAGATTTCGGCTGGTTTTCTCGATTTACCTCCTGTCGCATAATTGCCGAAGCTCGCAAGACACCAGTACCGCATCGCGTCCGGCGATCGGGGGGACCCCCTTGGGCCCGCACCAGAATTCACTCTGGCGAAAGGTCACTCCTACGTGAAGTCGATGACAGCGGCGCGCACGGAGGAAGGGGGGAGGAGAAGGAGGAGCAGGAGCAGGAGGAGGAGGAGGAGGAGGAGGAGGAGGAGGAGGGTAAGGAGGAGGAGGAGGAGGAGCAGCAGGAGGAGGAGGAGGAGGAGAGGAAGGAGCAGGAGGAAAAGGAGGAGGAACAGGAGGGTGAAGAGGAGGAGGGGGAGGAAGAGCAGGAGGAGGAGGAGGAGGCAGCGCCCAGACCGGCCTTGCGCGGGCCGTGCGCGCCAGCCCGTGCCGAAACCTTCGACGCGCGGGCTGGGCTGGCAACGGGCTGCCCGCCGGCCCTGCAAGGCAGGCCCCTGCCGACTGTGACTGTTTGGGGGGGAGGGGCTCGTTCGTGGTCCGAAGTGGCAAACATGAGAAGAAAAAAAGGTATCCATACCTCTACCCTTCGCCCGTTTCCCCCCTTCTTGTTCGGCCTCGCGGGAGGCCCTCCCCTCGTCGCCACCACTGGATTCGCCTTGAAGTCCTGGTCAGAGGGCGCCCTATGAGAGGTCCGGGCGCGACGACATGCGCTGTGAAATGACAGAGACAGGTCTGCACAAACGGGACCAAATCGGCGAGAGACTTCCTATGCACCCAACGCACAAAAACGGTAGGGGGGAGGGGCTCTGTATTGGCTCCAGCTGCAAAGCAGGCCTGGTGGGTTCCAAGGGTCTCGCGTTGCGTTGAAAACTTCCTGGCGCTCTCTCTCCCTCCCCCCTCTCCCTCGTCGTTTTCCTGCCATTTTTCTCTCCGTCTACCAACGGAAGCACTCCCTCGCAACAGCTAGCCAGAACGAGTCAGCCGACTGATGCCGCGGCCAAGAACAGGTGTCACTGAAGCGCCCCAGAAACTCGGCGGGTCAAGACGGAGGAAGAACCGGAAGGAGGAAGCACAGCGTCACCCATGATGGAGGGGGAGGGGAGGAGGACATGGAGGAGAAGGAGGAGGAGGAGGAGAAGGGGAGAGCGAGGAGGAGAGGGCGCCTTAGAGAAAGGGTGACAAGAAGAGAGGAGGCGGAGGAGGAGGGGAAAAGGAGGAGGAGGAAGAGGAGGAGGGTTCCGAGGGTTCCGGTGACGACGAGGGGCTCCGGGAACGAGGCGCCAAGCCATAAACTCGAAAATCCTAAGCGCGAGTTCCGGAAATCAGTTACGCGAGGTGATAGGCACAGGCTGGTGAAACCCAGTTCCTATCTTTTCGCCTGACGGGCCCTTCCCCTGGATAAGGTACTTCCTCTTAAAGTGTCTCGGAGAAACCAGATGTGGTATACCCTTGCGCGGTCTGGCTATCATATTTGCTCTACTGACGCAACGAGCAGTACAACCAACGCACCAAACCATCGGGCCCGTTTTCCAGAGGCGGTGCGTCTCATGAGCCGCTTGGACCCCCTTAGTGGGTCCTCCACAGCTCAATTTCACAAGATCACGCCTGCGAGCGCGACTATCACCGCGCCTCGCGCAAACCCACACGCATCTGAACTTACGCACTAGATTCCCATTATCATCACTCAGAGTGAGACCGATCGGTCTCCCCACATACTCCTGCATTTCAACATCTGCCCATGTTGCTCTCGAGCAGCGGCGCAGGATGCGCAGCGCAGTTTTCAGTGCCAACGCCGCCGCATGCTCACGCGTCTGGCGATCTCGCTCTTGAGGGATGTCCCTGAGGTGCATAGCCGCACCGCGCCTCGCGTAGAAATCCACCTGCTTGCAGCCGTGCCAGTAAGCCAAAGGTATATGCAACTCGTTCGCTTTTGTCTGAGACAGGCGCGAAGGAACCCACTCAATGCCGATCTCTTGTGCACCAACATCCTCCACTGCATTCCAAAAGTGTACCCATCCATGAGGATATCCAGCCTGCCAGTTGATGTATTGCTCCTCGGAATCTGTGATCATGTACAACCGCCCTTGTGACTTGTGTAGAACTGCCTGCCTCGCGGCATGCAACTCTGCTGCGCCTGATGTCTGCCGTGGAAACAGTGCTGGTCCAGACGCTGCCGCAACCGCGTTGCCAACTGCATCTATGATACAGAATGCCCATCCACCACGAGCTCGAAACTCACAGCTTGGAAAGACACAGCCGCCATCCACGCGCACAGCTCCACTGATAAGCCCTGACAGGGAACACATATGCCAGCGGATCGTGCGGCGCTCAAGTGCATCAGGTAATTGAAACAGCGGGTCTGGAAAGAGGCCCTTGTACAACGACATCATCGTGCACGGGTGGTCCCGCCCATGCTCAGTGCGCCCCCACCTCGTGAGCTTGCTTACATACCCGCTCCAACCTTGCCTTTCCTTGAGATGCCAATCGCAACGAAAGCACCTGTGCAAGTCAGTTTCCTCCTCGGCACCGCATGGCGCAAATCGGCGCGTCCGTCGCTTGAACTGCACGCAGCCGCACTTGATTGAAGAAACCACCAGCCAGCCACGCACGTAGTAGTCCAGCAATCTAAAGTGCAACAATCTCCTTGACAGCTGGCTTCAGGATCGGCGGCCCAGCGAGCCCCTTCCATTCCACGGCTGCCAGGAACTGCCCCCAGAAGACGCCTTTTGGGAGCATGCATAGATCAACTTCCTCAGTGCGCCGGCTCCGATAGCTCCCGGATCAATGTTTGAGCC